CACACACACACACACACACACACACACACACACACACAGAAAGACGTACCCTGGAAAGGTGCCACGTGCTTAGCAGTTATGGGCCATCTCTCTCTCACACACACACACACACACACACACACACACAAACACAGAAAGACGTACCTTGGAAAGGTGCCACGTTCTCAGCAGTTATGGGCCATCTCTGCACTACAGTAACTTTTAACATTCGACATGTATCTGGAATGCAATATGGACCAGATAACAGCAGAATAAGAACAATTATGTTTGAAATTCAATGCAGTTGTTATTTGTTTCTTTGATGGATGGAGGCTCTTCAAAGGTATGAAAAGCTGGAGGACTTTGTACCATCCATTCACGTGGAGTACAATACCACGTTCTCTCTCCTTCTCCTTAACATTTTTTTTTTTTTTTTTTTAAAGCTATATTCTTCTCTCATCTATCTCATTTTTCTTGCTAGTACTCATCTATCTCATCCTCTCACTAGTGTATKTSWAGTACKGGGGAACACCAACCAACCCGGATCTCTCCCCAGCCCACGGGGTAGGTTGGCACCACAGCAGTGGTGCGAGAGCAAGGCTGTACCAGTCCCTCATCGGCGGTGCTAGCGCCGAGCAATGGCCAGTCACTGCACCTCCCCCTACCCCCCCCCAAACCCTACACTGCGGTGTGTAATGGCCAATATTGTAGCTGCATAGCAACCAACAACATCAACCAAGGTTGTGTTGTTGGCACCATACACACTGTTAGGGCATACTCACACTAGCTAAGGACTTTTCCCTCTTCTGTTTGGACGTAATTGCGGCCAGGTGCATCCATCCAGCCACGGGCGTGGCTGGAAATGAGGTCAGATGCATCCAGGAATTTTGAAGTCCCCGTGTGAATACGCCCATTGTTGCGCTATGGTCTATGGCCGGAGTTGAGTGCTTGTTCCCCCTCATGCGTTCCCCCTGGCCACTTGCCAGAATTCTCAGGCTCATTCTCAGTCTCATGCATGTCCTCTGGCCACTTGCCATGCCAGGCTTTACGTGTGTCATCCTTGTGCAGGGGCCATGCTTCTTTAAAACTGCCAGTACTTGGCCCATACATCGGCTGCGGGCCCTTGTTCTACATGCGCCGTGACTCTCAGGGCTCGCCCTCTGGAGCAAAATGGCTGGTGATGTGACGAACCATTTTCTGTAATCGCGCGACTTTCTGCGCGAAGCTGCCTTGGGGATATGGAGGGGACGGATGGATGAGTTGTGGAAAGATGGGTTGGTCGGGCAAAATTGTATGGATGCCGTCGTTTCTTTTTGTTTTCTGTGGAAATCTGTTGGGTCGGTGTCGGGAAAGTCCCGCGCCAACGATTGGGTAACCGCGCCTTAACGAGCGTGATGGCCAACGGTTGTCATGGCTTCTTTCTTGTTCTGCTGTGAGCTCTAGGAGATCTTGGTGCGATCATCGCGCGGGAATATCGTTTTTGTTTTTTTGAATTTCCAACTGATGTCGAGCTCCCACAGGCTCGCGGAATTGTTTTTGGGCTCTTCGGAATTTCCTTTTGCAATTAGGACTTAGGCTAGGAATTTAGGTACTCTGAATTTTGTTGCGCCGCGCTTGCGCGCATCTTGCTGCGCTGGGAACTGGGCTCTGACTGGATCGCGTCCTTAATCTTGTGCAACTGTCGCTTTTGGCGGGCGCAATTGTAACTGTATCTTTCTTCCTTCTTGATTTCTTCGTGTTTGCCCGCCGTTTTCTTCTTTGTCTTGCATGTTTGATGCTCCGTTCTAATTGGCCTGAATGCCTGCATGACCGGATCGATGCGTGGAGTGCGGCTACAACCCCCACGCCGCGGTCTGGTCATGCAGACGTAGGCACTTCCTCTCTTCTCCTTCTGACCACTTGGGCTTAATCCCGTATCTTTCACGCAAGCATGCATGCTATAAATTTTGCAAGCGCGATTAG